GGGGGGGGGGGGGGGGGGGCGAGCGGGGTAACTTTTTGTCTCGTTTATTTATTATTATTTTTTTAATATGTTTTTTATTTTTACATTTTCAAAATTTTGAGTTGTCATTATTAGCGAATAAAATACAAATTTAAAAAAGGTTTTTAACGAATGAATTATCTAGAAATAAAATTATTTTTAATCTTTTTTTTTTTCCTTTACGGGGCGGGGCATCCTCGCGCCACCCCATGCCCCATGACGGGGTGCCCCGCCAACCCTTTCTGGACAGATTTTTTTTGCCATCACTGTGTGTGTGTGTGTCATCTCTATTGACAAGAAAATCAAATAAGTGATTATAGATAGCATGAAATTGTCTCACTCACATAGAAAATCTGTTTCTCCATAATCACTTACTCATCCTACTGATGCCACATAAAAGATAATATCCTTACCGCTGCCGTGCGCCTCTCAAATCTTCATCATCGAGTCCATACGAGTCTATATAGTGTGTGTTTCCCAAACACGTTTGTTTCTGTGCACTGTCATCTTGGGAAAAACTTTGAGACGAATCTCTGCATTTGTTGGATTTCTGTAGATACTCAATGTGGAGTTCTATAGAATGGTTCGTGTAGCGGACCTAACTGTTGTTTGGGCTTTAAGTCGAGGATTCTCGAGCCATTGATCTAGTGTTCTTCTGGTGTTTAGTTCCACGGGAAATAGGGATTGATCACTCTGATTGTAAATGCTTTGGTCGACAAAAGTGTAAGACGGGTGTGTAGGAGAAAAAAACCGGCTTGTGTGCACCGATCCATGATATCGTAATGGGCTTGAAATGGGAGTAACCGGCAAGGATACCATTGTTCTCGCACTATCCCTGCATAGACATGATAAGAAAGCAACAGTCACGTGCAAGTTATGCCCATTTGAGCTTAAGCAATACGGACCAAAATAGATTAATGGACTTCTCCACATATGTTAACAGACCTCGGGCACGATAAGGTCCTTAGTGTGGTTGGTATTGGCCTTGATGTATCATCCCTATTAGAACTATTACTCATTCTGCTGGAAAGCAGCTCGGCGCTCGTCTGCCATGAAACACGAAACTATCTTGATATATATACAGAGAAATCGAGTTTCCCAACATTGATGCAAGAATCTCAACTAATGTTCGAGTAATTTAGCAAGGCCTAAAACATCAGGAGTTCATATCATAATTCTATAAAGGAGACAATATTGAAAAGAAAAATATTAAAACTAAAAGTAATTACAAATTAAATGAGATGGGTACATTGCGGTATCCAATGGGGTGTCCAAAATGGACACTACCGAGGCGCCTGCCACGCCGGGGCCCACCTGCGCCTTGGCCAATACCGAGGCGCCGATAGACACCCCGTTGGACACCTCGATGTACCACAAGCATTATTCAAACAAAATATTGTCTTTATATCCTTTAGGAAATCTAGTAATTGACTAATGGGGTGGCGAAAAAGAATTCATGTAGCCAACTCCAAATTTATAGGAAACACCACTCTATTTTCTGTCGTTATATTTAATTGTATCTTAAGCTTAGAAGTGGATTCTAAATACTTTTGCCATAATCATGACCCTAATATTTTGAACACTTCTAAAGAAGCATCAGGAGGATTTAAGCATTCCGAAGCAACTTACAGTTGTGAGGCTTCTATCCAAGGCATGGGGGACATTGGCAGCTCTTATTGCCGTTTGATTTCTAACAAAGGGGTGAGCCAGTAGTTGGGAAGCCATTGGCCTTGAAGATGGTTCCCTCTGCAAGCACAGCCTTATGAAACTTTTTGCATCAGGCGATAGGTGATCAGGAATCTCCGGGATAGCCTTGCTGTTTCCTATTTTAAATATTGCAGCAACCTGACCAATTCAAGATTACTAAAACTTATTAACATGTTACGAGAAACAAAAACAATAAACCCAGAAGAGCACTTGCAGAATTCCTTGCAGATCTCTTGCAAAAAACATGAAAAGAGAGAACCATTGATAAATCATTTATATAGCAGGAATTTGAGGGCAACCTGATACCTCGACTATGTATGCCCAATGTATCTTAGAATCAAAAAATTTTGCGGTCAAGTGGTTAAATGTGTAGCATATACAAAAAATTAAGTGCCAGTATCAATGATGCTGACTTTGGTAATGTAACTTAAAATGTCTACCCCTTCATATTGGCCCCACGGTGGTTTCGAGGTTGCCATTTCGAGAACTGTGCATCCTAAGCTCCATATATCCACCAGAAGGCTATAACCATTTGTATTCGTTACAACCTGTGAAAAGAATACATATGCATATATAATATCATTGTGACCAGCAAAAATTTATGACTGAGAGTGTGAGATACCTCAGGTGCCATCCAATAAGGACTTCCTTTGAAAGATAGCATTGAAGGACAGGAATTTATCTGCCAAATGGAAGCATTAAATTTCTGAATTCCGTGCAAATGTTTTTGTTGGGTTTCAGAATATCGGCTAGAGAGTAAAACTTGCAATGTAAACTCCATGATAATATGTATATTACCCTCTGAAAACCAGATTTCACCCAAACACCAAGACAATATATACATCATTTTCCATGTAACTGAAAAAGAGATCGTCTTTCATTCCAGTGACTCAACAAGGACCAAATATCTATTCGCCATTATCGAAAAATATATTTACAAATAAGGTAGCTGATACATACAGGTTTTGCCATGCCGAAATCAGCAAGTTTGATTTCACCATTGGGACCTACTAATATGTTTGCTACTTTGATATCTCTGCAGAAGTGATAGTTTTGCCTGAGTTCTGGAATTTCACATAATGATTTAAAGTGATCACAATAAGAGTATCAAATTATCACCTGTGGACTGTATTTTTTCCATGTAAGTAAGCGAGCCCCAAGAGAATTTGCCGAGTGTAATTTTGTATAACTGGCTCAGCAAATGGCCCGTATTCTTGCAGTAATTTTTGGATGGAACCCCCCGAAACGTACTCTAAGTAAACAGATAGTGTTTCTTCACTCTGCAGGACAGTGAACTAGATAAAAATGCTGTAGTATGATAACTACGAGGATGTGCTTGAAACACAGCATTTCATTGTATAATTGAAGCGATTTCAGTTTCTTTTTCTTCGGTATAATTGATGCAATTTCATGGTATATAAACAGAATGCTTGTCGAATTAGGATAATAATATCAAGAATGCAAAAAAGTATTACGCATAGACTGATGATACGAAATAGCATGAAGTAAACTCATACCAGGTCGCTACCATAGTACTGAACAATGTTTACATGTGAAAGCCGGCTGAGCAAGTCAATCTCCTGCTCGGACAGCCAAAATTTGGAACAGATCAGATGCACCAGAAGGCATCAATCATACAAGTATGAACCAAAAATACAAGTACTGCAGAAAGTAGTTACTATGTAATTCGAGAAAGCTAGGATTGCAGATGAACCTGATTCAATTGCTTGAGACATTCTTTGGATGATAGATCATCCAAAATAACCCGGACTTCTTTTATGGCACACATTTGACCGTTCTCACTACCACATTTTAGAACAATACATCAAACAATACTACATCATCATGATATAAACATGTTTGGGGACCATTCCTTGAAAAAAAAAAAAAAGGTTTTGAATAGTGTTTTAGAAAAGTGTGTGGTTAAAAAATAAGAAAAAAGTTTTGGGTGTACATGCAGAATATTTTATTATGTGAATGTGTAGTTAAAAATGATCCTGTTGCAAAACGAGTTTTAAGAAGAACGGAAATCAAACAGGGGCTAAAAGTCGAAGTTTCATTACCAGTTGAATCCGAGATAAACATGACCAAACGTTCCCCTTCCTAGAAGCCTCCCTTTCCTCCATTTTGATGGATTACAACTTGAGGTTTTAGTTATCCCGGGACTTCTTGGGGTCAGAAACATAGAAGGGCTGGAAGGAGAACCAGGTGGAAGGGGTAGCCTATGACATTCACTCTTTCCATCTTCCGATTTCCTGGTCGGAGAATCCATATTAATACCATAAGATCGCAGATGAAGAGGTGAGGTGATGTTGGTAGTCACCCTTGCACCTTGACTCGGGCTTCGCAACAAAGGGCTTGATTTTTTATCTCGAGATTCTCTGCCATAAAATATGAATTGTACATCCATAAGACTATTTACCAAACTACTATTAGACGAGACTAACACTTGCAAATCTGATTATGCTCATCTGAGATACAGTATATTAATGTTTAAAGTGATAACTTACAGCTTTTCTTCCAAAAAAGGTTAGAAATTGATCTAAAGTATATACAGATATATAATTGAACAGAGGTAAAACTAAAAAGGAATCTGCTGGCGATATTTACTAAATGATCAAGAAGAAGGCCAAAAGAAAAAAGTTAACCAATTCTAAATAAAAACATCTGAAAGAGGCAAGAAAAGTGAAAGAGTACTCTCTTAATTAATCAACCTGAAAGCATGATCGACCACAACTTGTGCATGGTCATAAGATGATTCGGATGAACCAACACTTGAAACAGAACTCGACCCGGATACACATCCGGCTCCACGAGCATGATTGTGCTCACTCGATGACTCCAAGGGACTGGGCAATGGGTGCCCTCCACCTCGTTCTCCTATAGTAGAAAAACTCCTGCTTCTTCTTGGTGAGTTTGATGAATCCTTTGCAGAATTCTCAGACTTAATAGTTTTTTTCCCCCACCAGGTTGGCATATTTATTCAAGAAAAGAAATGTGAACTCTAAATGTATCTTGTGTGCATACACATATATCGAAGAGGGTGAATGAAAGGGCAATTGAGGTTTGTGGGTTGAATTTATACGAGGCGAAACGTACATGGAGGAGCTCAAGAAGAAATGATCCCAAGGAAATTGCCTGGGCGTGGGTGGGATTAGACCAGGTGTATGACGTGGCAACGCCATTTTCAAAAGGGTGATGCTATCAAGGTGTTAGAGCACCCGTTTATATGACATCAAAGCATCTTCAAGATTCTTTAAACACGAGCTTTTCTCTAATTTTAAAAAGCTAATTCTTAAAATCATGCTAAAAATGATTCTTTAAATTAACATTTTATAGGTGAAATTATGTTTATTTATTCGGTTTTGCTCTATGTCCTGGAAGTTTAATAGAGTTGTTTGCCAGATGCCAAGTGTTAACACTGCATTTATCTGTTTTAATCTGTATTTTTCCATCATCCAATACAAGAAAGCCACCTCTCTTCCTGTGAAATTTTCTTGCAAAACATTTGTGAACCTATGGCTTTTTTCTTATTTATTTAACTATACAGTTCATTTAATAACATTTAGGGCCCGTTTGATAGCAGTGATGGAATTTGGGTGGAAAGAAAATAAATTTCAAGGAATTGAATTATCTAGAAATTGTTTTCCTGAGAATTGTAAATTATTGTATTTGATTCGTATTATTTTTAATGTGGAATTCGTTGAATAAATGTATTTTTTGTGTTTCGTTTAGCTTTGTTTTATATGAAAATTGTCAAATTAAGGAATAGATTTTACTGGTATTGGAGATGAAATTTGTTTCTATTGCCAAAAAACAAAAATTCAAGAAAATCATATATCTTTTGGTATTCACTTGACTTTGTTTTACATGAAAATTCTCAATTTAAGGGATATCATCTTTTACAATTGTTCATAAAATTTGTTTCCATTGCACAAAAAAAAATAATAATAAATAAAAAAGCTAGAAAATTAATTCCCACCAAAATGGTGGGAAAACCAATTCAGCCAAAAACAAGGAAAAGAGACGCGTGGTTGGGGAGGCAAGAAAACTAATTGCCAAGAAATTTTTGGCAATCAAACAAGTAAAAACTGGGAATTGGATTTAGAATTTCATTTTCCATGGAAAAAAAAAAGGGGGTTATCAAACATACCCTTAGTGTCATCTAAATTGGTGTTATAATACAACTAATACAATAATGATATTAATAGTTAAAGACTACTGTAGCCATCCTAAGTGTCACTTTTTATTAAGGAATTAACATATTACTTGAGGCAATAAAATTACAAAAAATTAATACCTCAAATAAAATGTTATCACGTAAAATGTCACATAGAACGACTATTGCAGTCATCAACTACAAAGAGCATTATTCACCAACAATATTAGATAGTATACTCTTTCAAAAATCCAATGTCTAGGTTTATGGTGGAAATGCATGCATATTTTTTTCCCTTGACCAACTCCAGGTCTAACGTTATTAAGCTGTACGGCCACTCTAATAGCAATAAAGGAAGCATAGAAATTAATATATTCGTGATAAGTTTCTCGAATAAAAAGCGAAAGAGTATTGGTATTTATCTAAAAATAATTCATTGAAAACACAGAATTTATAAGTACTTTTATGTAATTTATTGTCTTAATATTTTTCATCTCTCGATTTATATGTTTAAATAACTTATTTTTTCACTTTTAAATATTAAATTTTACTAATATGTTTGGCCCCCGTTTTCCAAAAATCCATATTTTATAGCACATTTTCAACAATGTATTCTCACAAAAAATAATTTTATACGCAAACTGAAAATTTTTCCATTTTTTTTTTAATCACAAATTTTCCAACAAAATACTATTCCAAAATGCATTTGATCCATAAATGGGGCTCAAACAGGGCAGTTTGAACTTTGAACATCACCATTAATTAATTTTTTTTATCAATTAGATAATTTAATTATTTTTAACTTTAAAGTATTTATTTTAAAATTTATTCTACTATTTATATTTAAATTTGCTAAAATATAATTTTTTATGCATAACAAACAATGCCGATGTCGAACCACAAATTTTCTTTTCATTCTTTTAACTTATTTTCCCAAAGGATTAAAGGCAGATGATGCATCAAGCTGTTCTTAAGAGTCACTTCATCCTCTTCTTGAAAGATATCATATGAGGCACCCCTTGGAGCGTCATCAATGTCAACTACCGTTTACGTGTATACATCTTAACCAATAATAAATAATAAATTCCTAGATAGAAATATAAATTTTTCATAAAGTTTATCACTTGCAATTAAAGACAATTGGATTTAAATTTTAAAATATTTGCTTGTAAAATGACATGGTAGCGAGAAAGGCCAAAAATGAGAATAAAGAGGCTCTACATAGGTGGTTGCCCCATGCAACTCGACCATAGACAAAAAGAGATAGGTCCACCACATAGGAAAAAATAATTAACAATAATTGACATAAAATGTCCTTATCATTTGTTTTTACTATACAAATCATCCTTTTCATTTTACTTTTGATGTTTGGGGCCCTCAAATCTTACATCCTTTATGTAAATGATCATTTTCGTCCGATTTCATCTATTTATCCCCTTTAAAAGATGTATGCATTGCACATGATATAATTTAGAAGGATAAAATATTAGTTCACTTTATTATTATTTAATTTTAATAAATTTTAAAAATAGTAAAAATATTATTTCAAAAGATAAATCTTCTTCTCACATTTCAAAATAAACAAAATTTTAATTTTTATCAAAGATGTGCTTTGTGTTTAGATATACACTATGATAGATATTATACCTCTGTTAAATTCCACAAACTCTTTTGTTTCTCTTAAACTCCAACAATCACAATTTGCAATTCACAGCTATCCAATTGTTCACTCTCCAATAGAATTTGTCCAATTATCTAGTTTCCAATGAAAAACCACACATAATGGTCTATCCATAATAACGATATCCGTCTTACGATCATGGATGATTTAAGATTCAATCATATGTAATTTATATCCCACAATCACAACCATTTGTGATTAAAAATTTTCTAAAATCTGAATCTACGAACTTTATTATTTAATTTAATTTAATATCAATTAAATAATACATCCGTCATAAAACTGCATCAATTATATGTTAAAAGTAATTATACCCAAAATTGATTGAATTTAAAATATAACACTTATAAAGAGGTAACTTTGGTGGTGGCAGAAGCAGGAACTCCAAATGACCACCGCACTATGCTACCGGCCTACCCCTCATCCCATGCCTCCATATCCGATATCCCATTGCTAATGTAAGCTTATTACCATACCAAGGGACTGCAAAACACAAACTACTTCAAATGAAAACTCATTGGCATTAAACAAACATTTGAGGTTAAAACATATAAATTAGCCATTTTTGGTTCCATGAATCAAATTAACTCCATTTTCGGAATTCGGTAATGAAGATAATTTCATCGTTTTGTGAGGAATTTTAGCTACCATTTTGGGGACGAAAATAATTTCATCGTTTTCTCAGCAATTTTAGCTACCATTTTGGGGAAAGTTTGCAGTTAGCAACCCCGTAGTCATTTTCCTACTATAGAAATGGTAAAAAAACTCATTCAACCCAATATTCGTGGGGCATAGCCCTAAATGGGGCGGGTTATACCCGCATAACTAGGTACATGCCATATGGGGCGAGGGCTATTGTCCCGAAGCGAATATGAGACAAGTACGAGAAATATAGTCCTCGCCCCATTGCCCGCTCAATTTAATATTAATTTCAAATTTAAGTTTTTATCAAACAAAAATAATAGATTTATCATTATTTTTAAAGAGAACATAAGTTGTTATTAACAAATTGGTAAAAAAATAATACTATTTACTAATTAAGGATATAAAAATAAACGCAAAAACTTAAAAAAATAAAAAGAAAAAATAAATGGGCGATAAATGGAGTAGGAGACTTGCCTCGCCCCGACCCGATCCCATCCCGCCTTAATTGGGTACAAGTATGGGATAAAACAACAAAGATACCCGACCGGACGGGGGAGGGAATGATCGATCCGTCCCATAGCCCCGTTGCCATCCCCATCCTACTACACCATGTGAATTCCAACTTCATAATTGAACAACAAAGCATCGCCAAATTTAAACGCCTCTGCTGCTCAATCAACGCGAAACAATAATTTTAGATAAAAATCCATGGAACTTTCATTGATATGGACACTTTCAAAACGTTATTCAAGGTCTACCAACGGGATTTCAAGCTCATTTGCTGGCTTTTCTTCTTCATTTTTCAAATTTTTTTTTTTTATCCCTTTTGCAATGCATTTTATTTTGTGCACTAATCGTATTTGATTCGTATTTTTTATATCATATGGTGGGCATCGTGGGTGGGCAGAAAAGCGTGAGTTAGTGGTTGATTGCTGTGGGGACTATGGTCAAGGGCGGCAGGAACTTGGGTTGCTTGCATAGCGGTAGCTGGGGATGAAAGAACGAGTGAGTGTATGTATACGCAACGGAGATAGCCAAACTGCATACCTGTTTCCGCTGCAGCCGTTGCGGTAGGGGTGGAGACGTGGTTGCAAGGCCATCACCAACTCTGTACCAAAATTTAAGGTAAATTTTGCAACATTTTACACCAAATCTTATACCAAATTAAAAATCATCCCTAATCATCACAATAAAACTTACATCAAATAAACAGTATTTAATCATTTCTCTTTGTTTATTATTAATTATTTATTTATTTGAAAAATTATTTATTTATTTATTTATTTATTTAAAAAAATACATAGATTACTGAATAAATAATTATGCAAAATTAACAAAAATATTAAATCATTAATAAATATACAGACTGTATTACAATAAATTACTAGAGTAGTGTGTATGTGGTTTTTGTAATATATCTTGTGTTAACTTTAAATAATCGTGTTTTTTTTTTTTTTTACTTTTGTATTCTTATTTTAATTAATTCATTAATTACTATTTTTCACATCATTAAAATTCATTTTAAATGCGAATGCAAATAATAACAAATGACACAAATTTTCTCCATCAATTAGTTTGGAAAATTAAAGAAACTGAAAATTTTGACTTTGCACCATTTTGCACCAAAATGGTACAAATTTGGTGCCACATTGAAGAGGTTTTGTGCCAATAGTTGGCACATTTTTGGTGATTTGGTTCATTGTTTAGAGATGGCCTGAGGAATATGAGAGGAGCGGTTGGATTTTCGGTAGGGAGAAGATGGATGTTTTGAAATGCTCCTTAAGCCCTGT